GGACGCAACGTTTTGCGCGCCAAAACGTACAATTGTACTTTTATATTTAAACCAAAGTGTGGAACGAATATAAACAATAATAAAATGGACGGAAGATACACGTATAAATTTGTACAGGTATTTAGAACAAATATATAATAGTAGAAGAAATTGGAAAATAAACCTCTCAGATGCTGCACTCATCTTAAAAACTTCTAAACAATACTCCTCTGACTAGAATTTTCTTGACAATCCAGAACCATCTCAAACGAAAACCAGAAAAATTCTGTGGTCTTGAAACGTCATACTCCAACGAACTCTGAACTAATGTCCTTAACTAAACTCGCCACGAAAACATTGTTTGAACGCTACTGTCCACTTAACCGTTTACTGTCAACTGCCCTGTAACTAAACTCGCTACTGTGCTTGTCGAAGTGTAAATCGGTCGTTATGAATAGTATGAAATTCAGCTTAAGATTGAAAATTATTATGAACAAAATATATTTATAATGTATCTAAATTGGGTTTTTCAACAAGAACTTTGTTTTTCAATTGGGGCAACACCAACTACATGACAGTTTTGACATTTAGTTTTTTGACCCATTCGTAGTAGATGCTTTGGCAATTGCTACAATAAATTCAATTTCGCTCAAAAATCGCATTAAAATAATTAAAATCCACTATGAAAATGGTGGTTCTGTTAAAGTTACGTTTCGTAAAATTCGTAATATTTTCGGACAACATAATCGTCCTTCTTAGACCGCTATTAAGAATTTTGTCGCTAAATTTGAATGACAGGCTCGGTACAAAATGTGCCAACACCAAAGCGTGTTCGACCGGGTCGTTCAACCGAAAACATCGCAGCCGTGAGCCACAGTGTTGAAGAAGATCCAAATTTGTCAATTCCTCGACGTTCTCAACAATTGGGGTTATCCAAAACCACCACATGGCGAATTTTGCGTAAGGATTTGGCTTTAAATCCTTACAAGGTTCAACTGGTGCAGGAATTGAAGCTGACCGACCATTCGCATCACCGTAGATTCGTTCAATTCATTCAGGAACAGCCCGCTGGTTTTTCTGAAAAAATCATTTTTTCAGACCAAGCCCATTTTCACTTGTCAGGGTACGTCAACAAGCAAAATTGCCGCATTTGGGCTTCTGAAAATTCTAAAGCGATTATTGAGAAGCCTTTGCATGCTCAACGTGTCACTGTATGGTGCGCTATGTGGTCTGGAGGCGTGATTGGGCCGTTTTTTTTTCGAAGATGAGGCTGGAAATGCGGTAACGGTCAATGGATCACGCTATCGCGAGATGTTAACATCTCAATTTTGGCCTATTGATGACATCGATATCACAAATATGTGGTTACAACAGGACGGTGCCACATGTCACACAGCCAACGAAACGATCAATTTATTGCAAACCAAATTTCCCGATCGCATAATTTCACAAAATTCAGCTGTTAAATGGCCAGCCAGATCGTGTGATTTAGCACCACTGGATTATTTTTTGTGGGGCTATGTTAAGGACAGAGTCTATACGGAGCCAATCGAATCGATCGCGACCTTAAAACTCAAAATCCGTGACGTGATTAACGAAATAGACCCGCCATTTTGCCAAAAAGTGATTAAAAACTTTGATGAAAGAATCGACATCTGTCAGCGTGGTCGTGGTGGACATTTGCCAGATATCATTTTTCATTTATTGCCAAACTTTTCTCTTCGTAATACAATAAAAATTTGAATCATCTTCATCTAAACTCTTTGTTTTATTTTGTTTTAGAAAACAAAGTTCTTGTTGAAAAACCCTTTACATCGACTTACTATATGTTGACCTATTCCGCGGGGCCCCCGTAAGGGCTACTGGAAACTAACGGAATAAAATCATAACAAAATAAATTAAAATAAATTCTTGTTCACACACATTTTAAAGCATTTACTTAACTAGTGGGGTACAGACACGTTGTTTATAAATACTAGAAAATAGCCCAAAACTAAAAAATCACATCTTTTTTTAGGAACAAATAACAGAAATATTGCCTCATGTCTACAAATCGCACCCCTAGATGAAAACCCCGGCAACTCAGAAAACCTAATTTTTCAGAAATGACGAAAAACTGTTTTTGGAAGATTTATGAAAGATATCAAAGATAAAATGAGAAATTCATAAAGGCAACGTTTTGTAAAGCTGTTTAATTCGATTATTTGTATTTTGTCAGTTAAAACCTGGAAAATAACGAGATTTTTTTAGTTACTCTAGTTTTGCAGCAGGAGTAAGCAAAATTTTTGTGTACTAGGTCAAGTTACTTTACTTCATCCGAAATAAAATTGAGTTACATTACTTTTCACCCCAAAAATAAGACAACTTTTTGTCGGGGGTTTTGAGTTAATGCCATGAACGGGTGATTGCAACATGTTAATCTTAGGAACATAAGCCTTATTTTTTATAGATCTAAAATAGTTGAAATAAATAAAATATGTACTCAAATAGAAAGTTATTTATTTACTAAATGAATAACAAACAAAAACGAAATACAATAATTAGTGTTATAAAATATTATGTCCTTTTTATAACAGTTATTACTTAGATACGAAACATTTAAACGATATTGAGATTGTACACGTATAATAATTAATAATTATGCGTTTTTAAATAATCACAGCAATAAGACTAACAAAAACTTTTATCTCCCTTAACAATAATAAATTTGAATATCTGTTTACGCACTATCAGAATAATCTTAAAATAAGATTAAGCCAGGACCCAACATCATAATCATTACATCGATTATGGGTCTCCACTGTTGCAGTCAATATTTCCTGCCTCCTGAACTTGTTTTTTTTCTTTTCAGTTTTTATTTAAAATTAATAGTTATTTTTACGCAGTCGGGTTTCTAATTTTTTTATTACTTTTTTTTCATCTTAGTTTTACTTACCCCACAGTCTTAAAATTGCAAATCACAGTTTATTTATTGGTCTATTATTCTTAATTAGTATTCTCTAATTAAATAAATTGGTTAATGGTACAGAATTCTTAAACTAGTCTAGGTACCTAGCCTAAATATAAAAATTGTAATGGTAACGTCATTACAAAACATTTTTGTAAAAGCTATCATAGTAAGGCTTCGGAATCACATCTCTGTCTACAAGTTCTTTAATATCTTTCTTTTTCGCTTCAGACAAACTAATTTTTTCAGTTCTACTCAAACTCAAATTACCAGGTGTTGATTCTACTGTGCGTCTAGTCTTTCTCTTGTTCACCAAGCTACGCTAGCTAGAACGGAGAACTCTATCATGGTTAGAGCTAAGATATTGAAAATGAGGAGTTAAATAAGATGGAGGATTAGGATACATCAAGATAGAGTAAAGAGTAGTGAGTGCACGTAGACTACGGCGCTGACGAATGGGTAACCAGCTAAGTTGAGAGCGATAAGTAGACACATTATCACACTTTCGAAGATTAAAAATGAATCGAATGCAGTTATTAAGAAGACGGTCATATTTTTTCAAGTTTTTTTTCTACTTTGAGGACTTTTATATCGTGCCACTTAACGTGGTTGTTACTTTCATCGATATTGAAATTTGTGCCCCAAGCTTCTTGCAACACTTTCAACCTTTCAAGTCAAGCTTCTTGCAACACTTTCAAGTCATAAAAGAGGTCACGTGTCATTTCATGCACTTTATATGCTGGTCCAGATTTTTTGGCAGACCTAATTAATGTTGTATATTGCTGTAGTGTGTAAATAGGGCCTGATTTTATGTGCCTTTTCACCTGCTTCTCTATAACGCTGTGAACATTGTCCCCTTCGTTTTGCGAATGGCCTCTAATTAAAAACTTATGAGTGATAGACTTCACTCTTATATTGAACACAGCATATGCAGATAACAAGTACTTGTTATTTTGTTGTCCGCAACAGTTGTCTGAGTAAAATATTAGATCTATGTCTCCAGTGGGACGATTATTGAGCAGCATTTCGATGAAAGCTAAAACACAGCTTCCGATGTCTACTGAATCACGCTTTCCTTCAGTTTCACCCCAGAAAAAATACTCCACATTCTTTGCATACAAATCACTAATAGTAAAATTAAAAAAAAAACAATTTATTCTAGACTTGTAAAAGAACAGAGACACTTGCCGTTTGGGAATTGGCATTACTGCCTGGAGATCATAAACGACTATTATAGCATCTGATTCTTTCTTGTTCCTTTCTTTCTCAATTCGCGCTAGGTCTTTCTCAAATAGATGCTGTTCGTAGGCTTGCTGCAATGTCATTTTTTTTTTCATCATCCGCATTTTTGTAGCTTACAGAAATCGCACAAGTCTTTTTAGGGCTCTAAATAGCCAATGTTGAATTGATAGTTGAATATGCGTTGAAATGTTGATTCGGAAGCAAATGGCAAGTCATTAGCTTGACGTAAGCTTTCATAGTCCCGGTAAATATCTGGTAATGATCTTTCGCTTTGAATGTATTCGCGAGTAGTCTGAGCTCGAAGATAGTGCGATTCAGTCCGTGGTATTGAGTTGATAAATTGAACAACGCTTTCTTTAACTACAAGATCTATCGTAGGATGATTATTATGTTTTCCTCTGTACTCTCCCTCTATAAACCCTGCTTCCGTCTTTTTGGTTAACGCTATTTTATATTACTTGATTACCTAAATCAAGCGTGGCCTTTAAAAAGGTCTTGCAAACACGAATGCGCGAATTATTTTCTTCAAAATAGAAGGCCGTATTTAGGGCCCGGAAGTTTTCCGTCCTTGAGTATCGGTACTTGGGCTTTATTTCATGAGTATGACGTACAATGTCCCTCTGTCGCTGAAGATCACCGGGTTTCCAAAATGCTTCAAACCATTTTTGACGAGTTGTTAAATTGAACTTGCTACTACATTTCAAACGACACTTTTCTCCGTAAAGTGGTCGAATTTTGCGAGCAGGGATTTCTTTTTTTAGTTTACCCCTCGACTTGTAAGACTTGCCTGATTTTTAGCTATCTATATTGACCTTTCATGTCTCCGGTTGCCTTAGTTTCTTTTTACACCGTTTCGGTCCTTCTTGCGCTTGAGTATCATCACTTGGAATAATATTTTGACCCAGATCGTGATCCTCGTAGTTATTGTCGGCATTGTTATTTTCTTTACTAGCGGTATACTGGAGGCAGCATACTGACGTTTAGGAACTCGTCGTCCCTCAGCGTTTATAGGCTGCTCATTAAGATTCAACAAAAATTCTAAAATGCTCAGTGATGGCACTAACTCGTTTATATTATTGAGGGTTTCTATACCAGGAAATTGAATAGGTCTTGAATCATCCGTTGCTGCTGGTTGCTCAGGATCCTCTTTTTCTTCGTTAATTATTTGTACCATGAGTTTTCCTCGCCCTGTCATTATCACTATGGTCTCGGTATCACTATGACGCTTCAAGCGCCATCTTGAAAAAACCTTTTCAGCCAATATCTCGGAAACAATGCACTTTAAGGCAAAAGTTATAAAAACTATTATTGTAGAAAATAAAATTTCGCATCTTTTTTTTCCAATAAACTTTTTTGTAAAACTTACCGTTTACGATTTATGGCCCATTTAATGAACTGGTTTTTCTATCGCGGCCAATAACTCTTGAAATATTAGATTAATCAATAAAATGCATAAATTTATTTTGAAAGATCAGTTTATTTTCCAAAACTTTTGTTTGAAACTTTTAATTTTTTTAATTTTTAACTCTTTATAGGACGTTTCATTTCACGCATAGCTGCCGCGTCACCCGCCGAGCTCGGCCGACGCTCGGCAGGTGACGCGGCAGCTACTTCACGATTACGAACCCGGATTTTATTGCTATTATTTCGGGGGAATTCCAAGTAAGACGTCATTATTGTTTACTAACTACGACTTACGGAGTCTCCTTTTTGAAATTGGAGTTATAGAGTATAAATATCTATTATCAATATTTCGTGGGGAAATAACATTTTGTTTTAACTCTGCCTGCAACAAAAAGCATAGGCAACTAACTCTGTCTGTGCTTTTTGGTGCTGCCGGTCCCAAGCCCGGAAAAGAGGAGGGTGCGGTTCCGCCGGAGAGAGTTAGTGCATCCGGTGGACTAACACACCCACCTGCGCTAGGACCTGCGCAGTTGAGCGCCGTATGCGGGGATGAAGGAGTCCTGGAGGGTAGAGCCGATCGTCACTGGGGTATACGCCCTCTTTGGTCCGGCTTTCAAGCTAAATGGTGGCCTTATCTCCCCGTCAGAGGGTCGCAGGCGAGGGGTGTGGGGGCTACCTAGTTTCCCTGAAAAGGGCTAGGTGGTGGTAAAGGCCATGCTGACGGAGTAAGTGAAAGTCTACTCAGACAGTGTGGGGATGGGCCTTTTCAGCCTTATCTGCCAGCTGGATCGAGCTCCCATTCGTCTTCGCCATCCCCCCCTCCTCATTCCCCCAGGGGGACGAATTATGACACATTAATAAACTATGGCCCATTAGTAGAGAGGAAGACGTGTCAGAGGTGTTTACCTTAGACACTGATAAACCAGAAAGAACCGCCGTTAAACCGGCGGTTTTACAGACTGTACTACTGTAGCCGTTCTCGATTGTGTTTTCATAGGTGTAAAATAAAATATCGCACCAAGTAATTCGAACACTGGTTTGTGCAACGAAGACCAGGACGTAAAACGGTTTCATCGTCGCAGAACACAAAACGGTTACACTGTCAGTACAGTAGATCTGCCGTATTTTCACGCCGTCTAATTTTTTATGGAATACATTTTTGTATATTGGTATTTGTATTTGAAATACTTATAATTTTCGAAGTCTTATTTTCTTATTTAATTTATTTTTAATATACTCGTATATTTATTTGGTAGGAAATTATTATCTGAGGTGGTAACATAGTAAAACATACTTTGTCAAGATAGTACTTTTATTTTATTATTATTATTATTTATTACACAATTATAACATCATTACAGTTATTAAACCAATGCGATGCTATAACTAACCTAAATATAAGAAAACTACTGACTGACAAATAATGATATCTGGTATGAAATCTATCAAATTGATGGTAAAATAAAATACTAATTAAAAACATTACATTTTTCAAAGCATTTGTATGCTGCAGTTATGAATTTCATCTCACTACATGCAAATATGTCAATATCCTGTGAGATGATATTTACATAGTGTATAGCACGTGACAATGTACGGGTATTTCTCGTTTATTTAATTTTTATGGTATGCCATATGATTATGAACGGTAATGTATCAGATATAAGGTTTAATTTCTTATAAAAATAACTGATCGATTTTCAAATCAATGTTTGTTGCCTTGTCTATCTGATAACCTGATCTGGCACCTTATTCCCGTTTGATGTTGAATGTGTGAAGTTGTGTCTTTATGATGAAGAGAAAATACGAGCGTTCGTCCCGACCTGAGTGAGAGAGCAAGATGCTTTGCTTTCGTCCTGGTTTTTCAGAGCTAAGGAGGATCTTGATGTTGCATGTTGCAAAGCTTGTAATTGTAAATTAGTTACAAGATTGACTTTATTAAAAGAACATGTCGTGTCATCTCAAAAACATAAGAAGCATATGATTGGGTATAGCGGCCAATCATTGGTAAGTATTTCACAATAAATGTAAACATGTTTTTTTTTCTTATACTATTTTACTGGACATTGTAAATTTAGATTAGACAAATATTATTAAATTATTTTAGGTGCAACAGATTTTTAAGAGCTCTACCTTAGAAGAGGAAGTCAAAAAAACAGAACTTATTTTTTGTGCTATGCTAGGTGGAACACAATTTACCGTTTCTATTAATGGATCATTTGAGCGAAATTATCTCAAAATGCTTTCACGATTCTGAAATTGCCACGTCATTTTCATGCAAGAGAACTAAAGCAGCAGCGGTAGCCTATAATGTTTTAAGCCAGATCTAGAAGCAGAGATGCTTGCCGATTTAAAATCATGTAAAAACATAAAAAAATCGTACACCAATATTTTCCTTGGCTACAGTTGAGACCACAGATGTCACAACCACATTAACGCTTGCAGTTGTTACCAAATATTATTCCGAAAACAGCTTCAGGTAAAAACAAAATTTTCAACTTTGGTGGACTTGAATGGAGAATCAGCCCAAGCTTTGCTCGATGCACTTTCCGAGGCTTTAACTAATGCTAACCTTGATATTAAAGATGTAATTGGTTTCGACTAACGTAAAGTTTGGCGAACAAGGTGGTATTATGGCCAAAAAAAGACATACATATTTTGTGGAGATAGACAAGAAGTCTATTGCCACAAAAATAAGGAACTGGTTCTTAAACAAACATGTATCCTCTTTAATCACAACAAAAATAGGTTTAAAAGAAAACGGAGACTGTATCTCTTTTAAACCAACGACAGAATTGATTAAAAAGATGTCGTTGAAATCAATGTATAACGAAGATGAAGAGTATGAAGCAAATGTTGAATAATAGTAGGTATCGTATAGTATAGTAAGATTAATAGTGTTGTAAAGTTCTTAAATGAAAAAAATGTGAAATATTGTAGAATAAAGAATTTCCTTTGAATGCATAGTATTTTATTTATTCATACCCGTCTCAGTGCATGCAATAATATGATGGCATATTTTGCATTTTCTGGAGTCGGTTCGGCAGATTTTGGCAGATTTTTTTACAGTGTGTGGCAGATTTGCCATTTTTGAGATGGTCACACTGTTTCGGAACATACCCCATTCATCACAGAATACACTTCATAGACATGTGTAGATCACTCATTTCTAGCGAACGGATCATTCTAGTACATTTCGTCACGCGTGCCGGTACATTCGGATCGATCATTCAAATGGATCCTTTCTGGCTCCAGTACCATCCAGTACTCTGTGTCTGTAAGATCCATTGGGAACAAATGGGAAAAAAATTTTTATGACTTTGTAATGCTATCATCGCCATCTACTGCATGTTATAGGTAATAAAGCATTTTATCGAACAAAAATTTATGGATTTTCAAGGTGGGAAGTCCAAAAGATGCTAGATGGCATAAACACAAAAATTTCAATTGATTTGATTTAATTGATAACTTTATTTATTATCGTTATTATTATATATTTTATTAATTTAATAAATTTGTTTATTTTTATATTTCATTCATAACTATACTTAATTTCATCGATTCTTATAAATTTACTTTGCATTTAGGCCATCTAGCATCTATTGAGCGTACCACCTTAAGTCTCATCCATTTTGGTTTGATTTCGATAAAATGAGAATTGACTTTAACTATAGATCGAATAAGATGGCGCTATTTATTTCAAAGCAAAGCATTGAAAACAGCAATTTTAGTAAAAAGAAGATATTGTTTTCATCTAATATTATAAAATTTAGGCTTCAAATGTCTAAAAATAAGGATTGTAATGTTTATTTGCTACAAAGTACTTAATATGATGATTTTCTTATAAGATAAAAGTTTATCTTATAAGAAAATCATCATATTAAATAAATAATTTGCCTTGAAATCTTTTGAAGTGTTATTTTTAGTAAACCCCACGAAACTAAGGTGTTTTTAAAGTCCTTTTTTATACGCCTTTACCACGAAATGATATTTTAACTCATAGATGCAACAATCAAATATAAGTAATAAACAATTAAATGTAAAATATTTTTTTATTTTACTTATATAATAATAAAAACCCTTATATAATAAATACTCTTGATACCACCTAATACTCAGCTATAGGTAATCAGCTCAGCAGTCTGCGTTGAGCAGTGTGCATTCGATTTGCTTTGCTTGTCTCTTGAAGTAGTTTAGTTTTCCGTTCGTTTCTTCCTTATGTTTATTTTTAATAGCTTAACATATTTATGAGATATTTTGTCAGTAATATTTTAGTAAGTATATTCTCTTAGGTGTTCAATAAAACAATAACATTTATTTAGCTGAATTTGGTGATGGTGATTTTAATCTAAGGTTAATGGTGGCTTGTAATCTCATTTTAAAAATTGTAAAATGAAAATTAACAGTTAAAATGTCTACGCCTCAAAACAAAAGGAGTGAAATTTGGAAACATTTTCCCAGCATATGGCCAGCAGCGTGCCCTGTGAACGCATATTCTCCAAAGCAGGGTTAACTATATCTTACAAACGTAGCAATTTGAAGCCCAATAAGGCAGAGCAATGTTTATTTTTAAATTATAACTTGTAAATATTTATTTAAATAGACTTGGTGATATAACCTAAAATCTTGGTTAAATAAAATGTGGTCTGTGTATTCTCAGACCAAAACATGAGATAATCATTAACCAAATGTCACCTTTGCAGATGTAGACCCCTTTCTACAATTCTTTTTTAAATTTTATTTATAAGAAATAAGAATTATACAACTAAAATTCCAAAAATTTTATTATAT